ATTCATTAAGGAGGAAAGGACAAATTTGAGGATTTTACAGATATTTTTAGGGCAGTATTTCTGTTAACTTCCCCTGATGAAAATTCATTATAGTTGATTTTTTAAAATAAAAGATAATTGAAACATGTTCTTAGAATATTATTATGCAAGATGTAAATTTTAAGGAGTCCTCATGTTTCTAATTTCCATTAAACTTAAGGAAATTTATTTTGTTCTTGATTTTAACTGGAAGGTAACTATTGATCGAGACTTCAGATACATTAATTTGTCATGCAGATTTACAGTAGGAAAGCATATGCTATAAAATATGCTATAAAATAATTTTACTCCCTGGAATTGCAACTGAGTTTTACTTCCACAAGTATGCTTTCTGCCTGATCTTAGGTGGATTCCTTAATTTGTCTTTACATATTTACAAATTTAGATATCTATAAAATGAATACTAATTCATCGTGCTGTTAAGGCCTTTTAAAGACTATAGTAGAATAGTAATTCAGATGGGTATCATTATGTTTTCTAACCTTTCTTACAATAGAAGCCTCTTTCTGTCTAGAAATGTGTGTACGTAACACAGCCATGGATCCAAGATTTTAAAATCTTTTTTATTCTGAAACATGCTTGTCCCTATAGTTAAGGAGAAATTGGTTTCCATAAGCTTTGGTTACAAATAAATAGCTAAAAGATTTAAAATACTCTGGAATAAGAGAATAAGCAGTGGTCCTGCATTTGTCTCATAAATTACCAAGAATCTTAGTCATGCCCCGATTTTTGGGACACGGTTTTGGAAGTCTTGTTGGTGTCAAAGCTACTGCAGTATTGTATTTGTTAACTTCTAAAGATTATATAGTAAGAAGTGATAAAAGACTATATAAGAACAGTCATAAAGGTACAGAAAATTACAGCATAAAACTCTCCGGTGTATTTAAGTTTCACCATTCACTTGGTGTGACTTGATTATTTCAGACTGGTAATTTCCGTCATAGTACTTGATGGGTACATATTAGGAGCTGTTCAATTTAAATGGTCCCATTCCTTTGGTTGTAAACATGCTTTTGAATTGGGTACAGAATTCTAACTCTCAGTTCTTAACAATCAGTTGTTTACTCATGTTGCACAAATACTTAAAATCTGTGATCACTCTCTTGGTGTCTAGTTTTTTCCTGATCTTTTACCTTCTTGTAATTATTCATCTTGTGTTTTCACATCATCCTCTCATCATGTGTTTTATCAGAAGCAACCTAACTCTGCAGTTGTTTTTTCAGAGTCTGTATACTAAATACATGTATAAGATATGCGGGATTGGGGAACCTGGGTGGCTTAGTTGGTTAAGTGTCCACCTCTTGATTTTGGCTCATGTCATGATCTCAACCATTTGCGAGTTGGAGCCCTGAATGGGGCTTGGCGCTGATGGTGCAGAGCTTGCTTGGGGTTGATTCTCTCTCCCTCTCTTTCCACCCCTCCTCCCATCTCACTCTCTCTCAAAATAAGTAAACCTAAAAAGAAATACGGGTTCATTTAACTCCTCTTCAGTAATGTGAAGTTTTGCCTGCTTGTCACTAGAAATGGCATATCCTTACCAACTTTCTACCTGTTAGGTCATGAGACTCCTTAAAGCTTCTTACAACAGGAGAAAAAACAACATTGCCTCTTTCTACCATTTGTACGTATTTTTAAAAATTCTTGTCCTTTCTATGTTTAGAATATCTTCCTTATCCACGATCTGAACTTTCTAAGTCAAGGTAGAGATGTGATATTTTTTTTAATCCTCTCCCCTCCATTTGAATGTTGTTTAGAACTGATTGATCAAATACCTTATCTTACTATTCTCAGGAGTGAAGTGTTTATGGATTAGCCAAGGTGAGCATGGTCTGTGTAACATTTTTGAAGGTGCAAATGCTATATATTCATTTTATTATTTATTTATTATTGCTGTTTTTTAGTTTGGGTAATTGACATACAATGTTATATTACTTCTAGGTATACAATATAGTGATCTGATTTATACATTATGAAGTGCTCACCACAATCAGTCGAGTTACAATCTGTCACCATACAAAGTTATTAAAATGTTACTGACTATATTCCTTATGCTATACATTATATCCCCTATGTCTTATTTATTTAAAACTGAAAGATTACAACTCTTAATCCCCTTCACCTATTTCACCCGTCCCCTCCAACTGCCCTTCTCTCTGACAACCATCAGTTTGTTTCCTGTATCTGTGAGTCTGTTTCTGCTTTGTTTTATGTTTTAGATTCCACATGTAAGTGAAATCTTAACTGTGTTTGTCTTCCTCTGACTTACTGCCCTCAACATACACTTTCTAGGCCCATCCATGTTGTTGGCAAATGGCAAGATTTCATTCTTTTTTTTTTTATGGCTGAGTGATAATACATTGTATGTATACGACGTCATCTTTATCTTCTTTATCCATTCTTCTGACAATGGACATTTAGGTTGCTTCTATATCTTCTTAGCTGTTGTAAATTATGCCATGATGAACATAGGGGTGCATATGACTTTCCAAATTAGTGTTTTCATTTTCTTTTTTTTTTAATTAATTTTTTTTAATGTTTGTTTATTTTTGAGAGAAAGACAGAGCATGAGCAGGGGAGGGGCACAGAGAGAGGGAGACACAGAATCCTAAGCAGGCTCCAGGCTCCCAGCTGTCAGCACAGAGCCCAACGCGGGGCTCGAACCCACAGACTGTTAGGTCATGACCTGAACTGAAGTTGGGCGCTTAACCTGACTGAGACACCCAGGTGCCCCCAGACTTTTTTTTTCTGATTTTGATCTGTATATCCATTTTAGAATTTAGCAATTGGATTTATCCAGGTAGTCTATTAATAATTCTCTAAAATGTAATTTACATTTTTTACTTAAGAAAAATCCTGGCTTTCTTTTAAATTGCATATTTTTATTAATATATAGCTCATCATCGTGGACACTTATATTCTTTCCCAGTGCACTTTGACCCTTATCCATAATTATTTTTTTATTAGCTCTGAGTTTCGTAAAATTGACATTGAAACTTGCTCTCTTAGATTTGGTGCATAAATGTGCGGGTGTTTAAAGAAATAGCCTTTCCCACAGCAGTATTGGCAGTGAAAAAAATTCTCTTTTATTGAATTATGAACTTTAAAAATATAGAAGGAAGTGCTTGGCTTTTCTTTTTGTAAAATTTTTTTTATTTACTTAAAAAATATATTTTTCCCATATATGTATATATTTACAACACAAAACCTTTCATTTCCTATAGTGTAGATAAAATGTTAGGTCTGGAGAGTACTACATGTTGGCAACTCAGGGAACATGTACTGCCCTGGCAGACGAGATGATTTTGAATGTCAAAAGACAAGTTACTACTGA